AAGTCTCTTCTGCTCACCAAGGCTGCATTTATTTGATCAAAATGAAGTAAAAACTGTAATATTGTGAAATATTATTACAATTTAATACTATGGTTTTCTGTGAATATATCGTGAAATGTAATTTATTTCTGTGGTCAAAGCTGAACATTCATTATTACAGTCTTCAGTGTCACATGATCCTTCAGAAATCATTCTGAGTAAAGACATTTCTGATGTTACAGAATATTACAAAAGATTTCAAAGAATGCTGTTCTTTTGAACTTTCTGTTCATCAAAGAATCCTGAAGAAAAAAAGAAGTATCAGGGTTTCCACAAAAATATGAAGTTTTCAGAATTTATAATAATAATAAATGTTTCTTTAGCAGCAAATCAACATATTAGAATGATTTCTGAAGAATCATGTGACACTGAAGACTGGAGTAATGATTTACCATCACAGGAATAAATGACTTAAATATATTCAAATAGAAAAGTTATTTTAAATTGTATTAAATAGTATTCATTTCATACATTAAGCTGTGGTGGGCATAAGAGACTTTCAAAAACATAAATATATATATATATATATATATTCATACCCACCCCAAACTTATGAAAAAGTAGTGTATGTTTGAGATTATACTTACCAGCCCTATGGTTTATAGCATCTTGGAGATGTTGTCTGACAGGAGGTTCACTCCGACTCTGCTGGGGTGCAGCAGGCATTGAAGAATCTAGGAACAAATCAAGCAATCTGACACAGAGCCAACAATATTTAGTCTGCAGTTCCAGGTTTATTAGAAGGAAACAAGCTAGAGCAGAGGTACAATGCAGATAAAAGAAAGAATAATCTTATAATATAATATACATAATATACAAAAAATACTACTACTAATACTACTACTACAAATAATCTTAAGATAACAGAATCTATGTTTTTAGATTTAAAAACATAGAATTAGAATAGAGAGTGCTAGAGTTAGAGGGTCCAATAAAGATGGAAGAGAAACACATCTCTTCCATCTTTATTTGACCCTCTAACTCTAGCACTCTCTATTCTAATTCTATTCTTAAAAATAAAAATAAAAATAACTCCAGCTTTCTAATCTTTTTGTATTCTATCTGTTTTTCTTTTCATTTATTATATCATTTAAAAAACCCTTGCTACGTGTACTGCGTTAAGCTAACTGAGACTTGTTATAGCACTTGTATATCATTGCTCTTTTGTTTTTGATTGCTTCCATTGTCCTCAAAATTACCTGGATTTTGACATTTTTTCCATACCAAAAATTAATTAAACTAAACATTAAACATGGCTTTCAGCAAACAGATCACCATTTATTTTAGATAAAATATAACACAATGCAGAAAATAAATGCTATTTTTTTAAGTATTTAATTGGAATAACTGTGCTTATAAAATTACAGGTCCCACACAGAGAATAAATCATTGGAGATATTAAATGTATTTTTATCACGTAATATTATACAAAAACACATGCAATGGAAAATTACTTCTTTACAATATTGTACCAATACATTAGTCTACATTCTCTTATTTTACTATTTTATAAGGCAACACAGCACACTACATAAGATAAAACAGTAACAGTATGTATATAAACAGTACATATTATATATATATATATATTTGAGTAGATAAAAATGTAAAAATGTTCTTTACACTAAGAAAAAATTATTCTTTAAAAAACTTTTCACTGATAAATTCTTTGGGCGATTAAAAATTGTACTTCTATGGCATCACTGCGAAAACTGATCCTTGTGATGAAAAAAAAACCACTCTCGTTGTCTCGCAGTCTAATGTACAAGATAAAACACTCCTGAAACGGTCAAAATCAACTTAGTGTTTGGAGTGTCATATTGTTCAGTGTTCAAATTTATCTAGGTTTGTTATCACAGCTTTCCCAATGCTGATGTTTGGTAATTGTAGCACCACAGATCATTTAAAGGTATCACACTTCCTGCTTCTCTACAGACAACAATACAAATGCACTTCCAGCATGTGGACAGTATGTGGTTAATTTTGAGGCTTGTGTCTCTCTGCTATTGAGTAGTTCTTCATAAGTTCTTCTTTAGTTTTATTAAGTATAATAAAGTTAATAAAGTAATTGGGATGATCTGTATCCAGTTGTAAAAGTTCATAAACATGTTTCCCTCTTCATCTAAAACCAAACAAGGGTTTACATGAGTTTAACAGCTCAACAACACACTGGTTCAAACGTGCTGTTGTGATGATGTCCCAGTGATTGACGCTGGTGGGCGTGTCTTATTTCATCACTCATTCACTTCATGCACATCTTCTCTATTCAACAGTGACGTCTCAACAGTCTCTGGTTCATTCACTTGTTTTCCTGTGGAATCTGAAAGAAAATATAAAGTCAATCAAATGAACTAAAAAGAAAGACAGAGTTTTGCTGCATTTACATCTATATGTATTATTTTAATTGAAAAAACTTGAAAAAACTTGAATCAACAGCTGAAAAAAAAGGTAAAAACAGACAAGCCGAACACATTCTTGGAACACTGCCAACCAATCAGATTAAAGAATGGAACTGTTGTGTAAATAAAAACAGTATATTGTTTTTTATAATAAATTATGTTCTAGGCTACTCACCAGTGACAGTCACGTCAAATCTCCTGAATGTGGTCTGTTCACTGTTGATGATTTGTAGTTTATAAACTCCAGAGTCTGTGGTTCTGGTGTTTCTAATTGTCAGAGATCCAGTCTGATGATCTAGCTGCAGTCTGCCTCTGAAATTCTCACTAATAGTAGTTGTTCCTGAATCAACTTTAACAACGAGACAATTTTTAGCTCCAAATGTCCACAGTATCAGATCATCGCTTTGTATTTCAGTGTCAATATTTAAAGTCACAAATTCTCCAGACTTCACGGGCTCTGTCCTCACTGTATGTCAAAGCAACACAGAGAAACAGAAATACAGAAGACAAAAAAATGTGAATTAATTTAGATTTTCAATATCACATATATGCGTACATTTAGATGACATTTTAATCTAGTTTGGAATGTTTGAACTAGGGCTGGTAATTTAACGCGGTAATTAGATTCATTAATTACGGTGAAAAATAACGCGTTAAAATTAGTACGAGTGCAAATGTGATACTGATCTTACACAACAGTTCAATAAATAATAAGTTTATATTGAGTGGTTTTAGACACAATGTTGTCTGTTTTGCTAAATTTTGCCAACGAAAATATAAAGACAAAGCAGAACTGTTCGTCTCCGAGCAACACGCAGCTGCATTTCATTTCTTAATCCACGTTTTGAACGAATTGGGTGAATCATTAGGCGCATTGCATTTGAAGCGGCTCTGCACAGATCGATCGGTGTATGACATCAAAGTCCCGCGAGAGCGATTCAAAAGAATGCAGAATCGTGTGCTCTCTAATCGCTCTCGCGGTACTTTGATGTCATACACCATCGATCTGATGGTGATGATCGGCTTCAAGTCGAACAAGCCTAATAATTCAAGGGACCATTCATAAAGAGAACCATTTACTACACTCCTGAATGAATCAGCCATTTGAAGGAATCAAATTAATGAATAAATGACTTGATGACTTAATCATTAAAGAGATACGAAAATTTTGTCATTAATCACCATGTCGTTCCAAACCCGTAAAAGTTTAATTCGTCTTTGGAACACAATTTAAGATATTTTGGATGAAAACCGGGAGGCTTGTGGCTGTCCCATTGACTGCCGAAGTAATTACACTGTAAGGTCCAGAAAAGTATGAAAGACATCGTCAGAATAGTCCATCTGCCATCAGTGGTTCAACCGTAACGTTATGAAGCGACGAGAATACTTTTTGTATGCGAAGAAAACAAAAATAACGACTTTATTCAACAATTCGTCTCCTCTGTGTCTCTCCGCATCACCGTAGCGCCATTTTGGAGAATATCCGCTGAACGCAAGAATCGTACGCTCTTCTGTGTCAACCGCGCTGCACGGATGCGCTGTTTTCATTCAAATCAAAGCGTAAATACACGTAGAAAACATATCCTTGTGTCGCGGCTGACACGGCTGACACAGAATAGCGTACGCAGTTTGCCTTCAGCTCATATTCTCCAAAATGGCGCTAGGTGATGCGGAGAGACAGAGGAGACAAATTGTTGAATAAAGTCGTTATTTTTGTTTTCATTATTCAAAAAGTATTCTCGTCACTTCATAACGTTACGGTTGAACCACTGATGGCAGATGGACTATTCTGACGATGTCTGTCATACTTTTCTGGACCTTGACAGTGTAATTTACTTGGCAGTCAATGGGACAGCCACAAGCCTCCCGGTTTTCATCCAAAATATCTTAAATCATGTTCCGTTGACGAACGAAGCTTTTACGGGTTTGGAATGACATGGGGTAAGTGATTAATGACAAAAAATGTCATTTTAGGATGGAGTAACCCTTTAAGACATTTACCACCACCTACTGGCAGTTTTAGTTTATTATTTAGAGAATCATTTCATTAATGAAATAATTTCATATTTCTAGTAATAATAATAATAATTATAATAATAATAAATTATTAAAAGTATAGTTCACCCACCCAAAAATGAAAAAGTTGTCATCATTTACTCACCCTCAAGCTCCAAATTTTTTTTATGTTGAATTAAACAAAATATTGCTTTCTGAAGCTACTTTTTGTAATGTCTGTTTGATGCTTTACACAACCACGTCTTTAAATTATCTTTTGGGAGTAATTTATCAGCCAGATTTGATGTGCGATTAATTTGCGATTAATTAGATTAATTAATTGCCGCATCATGTAATTAGATTAAAAATTGTAATCGCTTACAAGCCCTAGTTTGTACATAACTTCCTTTCCATGTTGTATTATGAGACTTAACGAGACAAAGACATTTAGTTAGCCATTAATTAATCTCATCTATCTAGGAAGATATTACCATAATTTATAATCACAAATCATAAAGTAAAACTGGGATAGGCTGTAGTATTTGACATGATGGATTTCTATCCCAAAAAAAATCAGCATTTCAAACCACAAACTATTTTGAATATGATTCACCAGCATGCATTTTCTTGTAATTGTAATGATTTTTCCCCCTTCGAAAAAAAAAGAAAGTGTTGAAAACTTATAGAGGTTTGTCTTTATTGAAAAACAAATGTACTGAACTAAAGCAATAAGCCCTGTGAAGCCGTGGTTTACAGTGAATTTATAACAGCTACGGGGCGTTGTTAGGTACGATGCGAATAGCTGTTATAAATTCACTGTAAACCACGGCTTCACG